CGGACGAACATGTCCAACTGCCCGTTGCCCTCCCAGACAGCCGAGCTGAGCTGTGCTACTAACGTCCATATTCAGACTAAGTCCTCGGCTAATACTACCGCTGAAGGGCTGGTTCATACGAACTAACGTGGTTGGCTGGTGAGGTTGAAGACTTCCCTGAGGTGCACTCCGTCGATCGTATGCCCGGTTATGATAATGTTCAGGTCCTAAATTGGGTGCCGAAGATTATAAGCGGACGGAAGAGACTAGCAGGCGCGGAACGCCGGGCGCCAAACCATGGACAAGCGGCGCAGCCGGAAGACATCTTGATAGTGAAGTTAGTATGCCAATTGCTGTTAGAAGACTAGGCGAAGAAGGAAGCAGTGATTGATCCAGGAGAATCACGCAAGTATTCTGAAAAGTAAAAAGCGCTAGGAAGTAGCGGGATATTAGCAAGGGCCTACCCTTGGGGTTCAAACTTTAACGCTGCTGCTGAGCGCTGCTCCTTGCTCACGAGGAGCTGCTATAGTAGTACGGGAGAAGGTTGCTTATAGACCAACACAGCAGTCATCAGTTTGTATTGCTTACGGTCGTAGCTGCATGTCTGTGTATAGGGAGAAGAATAGGTTTAGGATGAGATGGGAGACGAGAGGTCTTTCCATAAATGGGAGGCGATGTTTGCGACTTTCGCTCAGAAGAGGCAGCAGCAGCAGCAGCAAGACCACCGGTTTATGACAGTAGGCGCCAAGGTTAAAGCATCTCCCCACTGACGAATACTGACAGGCTCCTTTCAACCGGGTGGTAGACGGAAGAAGTAACCATTCTAGTTACGAGGACGGCGAAGGAAGATGTAACGTCTGCTACGGATAAGCATAGCTCGTTCCTAACCGCAACAGCCTAGACACAACAGCAGAAGATCGCAAGGCAGCCCAGCAAGCATTCTATACGATGGATAGACACCCTAATATGTGCTTGTGATTAAACTTTGTCACGGACATTCCCCCTCGATTGATCAGATATCTCCTCACCTTAACTACACGTCCTCTAACGACAGACACTTAAGTGTCCACTTGGTACTCTCCTTCGATATCGAAGTTTCGGTATTCCGCGTTACTATCTGACTAAGTTATCCCTCGCATCGGCAGTGCTGGCACGCTGTATGCGAGGTACCGATCGAGCGGACTATAAACCGGAAATGCCGATCCACGTTTGAGGCTCAAGGCCCTTCCCCATTTTCCCCACCCGATATTATCTAGTCGATCGGTCTCATCTTTCAGCAACGGCTTTAAATGTCCATGACACCCCTAATATAAACGTGGGCTCCGGCCTTAACATCAAAGCTCATTACCTTCTTCACAGCTTTCCTTTCTACTCATCGCTATCGAGCCAATTCGACACTATGACTAGCTATCAATTACCTTCACTCCACACACTAAACCGCAATATCCACAGAAGCTATCGAGTACATCCACTGTCTTGAAACAAAGCTCTCCATGCCTGCCTTTCCTCGCAAGCCTCGACGCCATCGGTGCGGCAAGGCCGCCTCCCCTATGCCCATAGCATATACACCTCCGTGGGTAATTAGCAGGCTCCCAACAACTAGGCTTCTTCCGTTAGCTTTAACCTAGCCATCAAGTCCACCTGCTAGGGGGGACTGAGCATGGCCAGGCCAGAGATACTAAGGTTAAGGTATCCTGAACCCCAAACCCGAGGAACCCCACGGCGGTCTAAGCCAGCGCACTAAGACCTCCAAGTTCAAGATCCACGTCGATACCACCGCCACCCGGGTACTCCGGTATTCTGACTGTTAACTACATCGTCGGGCCGTTGATCCGTCAGCCGAGGAGCACGAGAGCACCTCAAACTTCCCTTAACAAGCTCACTAATGTGATGACGAAAGGGAAGATCATCAACACCAACTTTAAGCAGCGCGCGGGGCCCTCGAGCCCCGCGGTAGCATGCTGCATTCGACTTTGCGATGAGAATGGTCCATGGAGTCATTGACGTGACCGCAGATAGTGCTGGCAGTAGCATGACCGACATCCATATTGCCTCATCCGCCGGCGTCCGTCTCGGCGACGCTGTTGTTGCCAAGAAGCTCCTCGTCTTCAAGAAGAAGAATGCTAGAGATCCGGTTCCACGTATCAATCTCTATACCACACATAATAAATATCTGATACTGTGACCTAACAGGGATCGACAGGCGGCCTGTCAAAACATGAATTGCTCACGGAAGGGTTTCCCCCTTCGGTTTCCTTAGGGCCCTGTCATTCTTCCGAGGTGACAGAATTCATCATCTAGCCGTCTCTCGGTCTTCCCAGTGCAGCAGGGGTAGCCACGATATACTCGATTTTGCGCAGGGGATGAGACTTAGCTTGCTATATAATGAGGAGTTCCACTTTAATACTAAACCCAAAGGTGAAGAGAAGCAATCAACTACCCAAACATCAGACGTCGGGCGGCCTACAACGGGGCAATCAGATGACACGATCGCGCGAGCGACAGGAATTCACTCGGAACAGAAGGACTGTACTGAATCCACTATGATGTCGCAATGAGATGGTCCTGGGCGTAGCAGGTTGGTAACTGAGTGTTCACCTCTGGTAACCTACCTAAGGCAGGTGATTAATCACCTGGCAATGGTCTCACCGGTCAGAGGCCCTGTTATCCTCAACCTTGCCCAAAAGCTTAGTAGTACTTCTCGCTAAATGAGTGTTGGCCGGTAAAGCTTCAGTGAAAGAAATCGTAGTAGCGAATGATACGGGTGGCCCTAACCTAGAAACAAACGTGTTTAACTCTGGGCTTTATAGGTTATGTTTAAGCTGGTCGGCATGATGGGCAATAACCGTGTAGGAAAAGGAATTCTCGCCCATACGTAGTGAAGCAGATATATCGGCACATGCGGTCGGGTTATACAGGGTTAGTAGTATCAGTGAGAAACCCCCAACCCCCCTGACCCCCCAACCCCCCTTATCAACGCCCCTTTGAAATTTCAGACCTATAGCTTAACCTATACCCAGCCCAGTGTCTCGGTTCAGCTTCAAAGACCCCAGTATGTCCAACTGACGCAAGCAACATCATCCTTGCGGCCTATCGAGTGCGATTAACCCGAATGCGGATCTGGCGAACTGCCGGGTTGCGAATCATCGGGTTACAAGGCGTTCCATCACGAAGAGGCGCGGAGTGGCATTGCATGCTTTATGTGTGCCATTAAAGACCAGACCAGACTAGACGCCAAGCCAAGGTAGCTAAGTCGGGGGAGCAGAAAACACCTAGCAATTACCCAACATCGTAAACAGAACTATGTACAAAGTGTAGTGCCTACGAACTTCAATTGCTGCGGACGAGGAACGAAGGCATAGGATTTAAGAAGCCCAACGAAGTTAACAGAATTACGCAGATGATTAGGTTTCCGTCAGGCGCTATATTCAATGGATGCCTGGGCCCCTCGGTCCTGCATTGATGAGATGCAATTCTAGGACCTGATAAAGCATCATCGTCGACCTATTACTGTCTCGGCAAGCTGAATCCCCTTTAGCCAGGGAGCTGACCGTTGGTTTTGTATCCTCTCTCTCACACCCGCCGTTCGTTTACGCCCCCACAGTTTCTGTAGCTTCTCTGCTATCTCGCAGAAAACGACACCACAACCCAATTGCCATGCTCTCCACATGCTGGAGAATGGCTATTAACTGCCACTAATTTATCACTTGACAGCGAACCTAAGCAGTCGCGCACGACTAGGCTTTTATCTAGGCTATTTCTTTTCCCCCTTTTTTCCCCCCCCCTTCCCATTTTCAAAAGAGAAAAAAAGAAAGTCCTTTTTATCCCTTTTATCCTTTTCCTTCTCTTTCCTTTTTATTCTAATATCAGCAAACGTTCGTCTAGACATTAGCATATGCAAAATTCAGTTTCAACGTAGGTCTCATCATCAACATCGTTCTCTTACGTGTCTACCTTCAGTCCGCGCCTGGTCTGCTGAAAGTGATCCATAAGCTACCGCAGCCTGGGAATACTGAAATGGTTGTAGGCCAGGCGGCCGAGAGCCACGCGTTGCAGCCGGGCGTGGGCGCTCTACACTAATATACTAAAAGGGGAACGATGAGTTGAGCACTTTACAGACTTAATACAAAAAGAACGGTATAAAAGGCTTGAAAATTCGCTAAGGAAAGCGCATGCTGCGCAGCCGCGGCCTATGAATCTATGTGGTGTCTTCCCGACGAAGTCTGTAGCCCACGCGATGTGAGGCCTTAATGCCTATGTCCCTAAACTCCGAAAACGCCAAAAAAATCCCGTTCCAATACTTATGAAGTATTATAGTGTGTGTCTGGCAGTCTGCTACCTTCGGCCTCGGCGATTCTGCTGTCTTCGGCCTCGGCGATTCTGCTGTCTTCGGCCTCGGCGATTCTGCTGTCTTCGGCCTCGGCGATTCCCGGCAACTTAATGCCAGTGAGGTGGACAAATGAATTCAGTACTATGGTACGGGGCATAGACCGCTAGTCCGAATGAGCGTTCCCCGGGGCGGGGGGGGGAGGGTCTAAGCGCCTGGACCGTCAACCTGTGCTATGTATCGCTGTTCCCGTAGGATCCACACCTTTAGAGCAATACAGGCTCTTCTAGCCAGGAGAGCTAATTAGACCGATGTTGACGCAGTTGAGGTCTACGTAAAGCCCAACCGCGGTCAAGCATGTGCCTCAACCGGCGCGGAGCAAAGCCTGTCTGTCACAAGGGAGCACCCATGATCAGAGGCTGACGATGACTGCGACCAGCCTATCCGTCTGTTATTACCTATCCTATGTGTATCTCTCTACGTCCTCTCGGCTCTGCTGAGTGGGACCCTCTTGTTATATAGGGAACAGCCATTGAGAGGATTAGGAGGCTCTTCGACCGAACACAAAGGTACTTATCACAGCCCGTTTTACTCCCGCTGTCTGCCGGCCTATTGCTACTAAAGATCGTACGTTCCCCAGCAAGCCACACGCCGCGTTTATCGAATCACTATCTCCGACTTGTTCTCTTTCGAAATGTCGTCTCCTATATCTCAGGGCTGGCTGGCCAGGCTGTTTGGGCTCCTTGTGCTCTTCACTCTCTTCCAAAGCATCGCAGCTCAGGATCTCGGCCTTCAACTTGACAAACACGCCCGGGATAAAGAGCAGCATATCCTTTACTCCTCTAAGCTCACCTTCACTAGAGACACAACAACACTTTTCAACAACGACCAACTCTATAGGCTTGCTGACTTAGCGTATACCCAAATGCAGGCCAAGTTCAATGTTGATCACATCAGGGCACAGGACCAGCCCGCCATGATAGCCGTTATGGCCGTTGAAAACAACATCTTTATCTCGTCCAGCCAGAAGGGAGACGGCCCTTCTCTATACGGCTACGGCCCCCAGCACCCCAAACCACGAGTCGTCGCTGCCCTTAACCGGTGCCAAGCCAGACTACAGAGCCAAAAGAAGGTCCCAGTCAACCAGAAGCATCGAACCGAGGCCGGCTGTGCGGAGATTTTCGCTGTTCACCAGGTAGGTCCTGCTCCTTCCGCTACCAGGTCCTTCCCCTGGATCAAGGCGCCAAACACCGACTCCTCTATATCTAACACCTCCTAAGTACCATTTGGACAGCGATAGCTCGCAGCAAGCTAACAATCACCCACGCTCCATCCGCATCGTGGCCTACGGTAAAGGGGGCCGGACAGGCGTCGCAGGCCGTAAGTTTATACTTGTCCTGCTACATGTATGCTACATGGGTGACGTCGTGCTAACGGGCTCACTGAACAGCTCAAAACCCCTGTGGCGGCGGTGAAGTCGTTAACCAAGAGGGTCGCCTAACGTGGGGGTGCAAGCAGTTCATGGCGGACGAAGGGATCGTCGTGCCACGGAAGCCCGGCAAGAAAGTCGACATAAAACTACCACAGCCGTTCCCAACGTTCACCCATAAGCAAATTAGCATCGTACCCCAAGCCTCTCCACGCCGAGCGCGCCTAGAGGGGCAAGCATCAAGGAACCAGCCAGCAGGGATGCTTCGCAGAACATCCGCCAAGCCAATAGACACCATATTCTAGATCTCAGCAGCGGTCGCGGTCGATCATTTGATTAGTAGCTGAGATCCACGCCATGAAATAAACGTGAGCTCCTCAACCGAGATACTCAGTAGCTGGGCTTTCAGGCGAGGGAAGGGCGACGGTTCGGACCGCGGGATAGACAGCTAGCCGTCCGGCGACCGTACACTGTCTGACGGTCCATAAAAGAGCCAACTTCATACCAGGCCATATGTGAGAGGCTGTTTGGTTTCACAGCTGGAAGCGGTGAGCTATAAGGTACGAACAAGGCGAGATTGAGAGCAGGTCGGGAGGGGGGTGTGTTACGACCGCTACAGTTGGTCCCTGTAGGATTGTAACTATATAGTACAGAACAGGAGATAATGACATCGGATTTGTCATTACCGAAGCTTTTGCTTTGTGCCACAGTTGGTTGCCCTGACCCGCTTGTAAAAGGGGGGGGAGTAGATAGATAGTCAAAATCAGAGCTAATACTGATACCTCTCCACCCACCTCTATAAACATCCCAAATCCGTCCCTATCCGGCTACAGCCTACAAGTCAACCCTACCCAACCGTAAGATAGGCTTACCTCTCTGTATATTTAATGTCTTCCAGTCTTGTCACGCATATAGTAATCTATGCCGAAAGCCCTACAATGCGGCCTAGTAGGCACGTGTTACGGTCAGCTATCCGACAGTAGGGTCTGCTAACAGAAGCTGGGGATTGATACGTTCTAACAGTACACTAGGTCGTGGTCGTAGGTCGTAGTTCGTAGGCTGTAGTAGATCGGGTCTTCAGAGGCTAAGGTGATCAGTCTTAGACTCAACAAGTGATTCGCAGTGAAGGTAAGCTGAGAGTATCCGTGAGGATGAATACTAAGTTGATTGCTGAAGAGCTATGGAAGTCTGACCATGAGCCAGGCTCAGGGTCATACTATATACAAGTCTAATTCTGAACATGTTCCTTTGTACCTTGGGTCGATCTGGATCATTCTGATCCAGAACGATCGTTTGGCCCCCAAGTCGTGTTGGATCATATTGATCCAATATGATCGTTATCTTATCATCACGTGACTTGGACCATAGTTCTTCCGTTACCGAGTGAGTCCCTGTTGTTCCCGTGATCCTGCAGTACAAATGTCCTGTCCTAGCCGCCCGATGCCCAAGTGGGTCGGTTAACTGTTATCCATGCATAACGGGTCGTAACAGCACGGTATTACCGAGAAAAAAGAAAAAAAAGAAAAAACTAAAACAAACTGGTGGTCCGTTCGGCGACACCGCCATGTCGAGCTAAGCTCGGCTTACTACAAAGACACACAGCCTGTAAGCTCTCCTTATCAGCACTCTTACTAACAGACCATTATCAGTGTACCAGGACCAAAAAGAGTAAACGGGGGTAAAGCTTTGACCCGGAGTATAAATTATAAACCAGCTTGGGACAGTGGCTGAAAACAACCGTTCCGGGTTAAACCAAAAAAACCAAAGGGATAATGGGGTGAAAAAAAGAAAACAAGAAAAATAAAATAAAATGCAAGGCCGACTAAGACGACACTAGCATCAAACGCATTCAATTTAGGATTTAGAGTGGGTTGGGTTTCTCCCGCCAAGGCTCACAGCGGGGCGACTAGAAATCGTAACTTATCCCAGCCGATACTATCTTCGCCAACGCCGACGCCGTTTACTAAGCAGATCATCTTGTTAGGCTGGACAACCTGCCTTTCCGCTACTATATATATTTCTATCACCTTGTGGGGATTCCACATACTGCGAAGATGTGCCCTGAATCATGAGCCCAGGAATCCGACGGTTGACGTGACAGGGTGCAACGCAGTGCTGTCAACGCTAGGTATAAAACCCCACGCCAACGTCGTCACGCTAACCCAACAGGACCTGTTCCCAAACTCCCTTCTCCTGTCAGCCGTTCGCCTTCTCTATTTCCCATCCCTCGCCTACCTTTCCGACCCAGGGTGTACCTTCTCCCGCCCCATTCGGTTAAACGGTAACATTCGTCTTCGTTCGAATGTTTGGACAACGACCCCTTCTTCTCTTCGTCTTATGGGCCCACCTATGGTACGTCTTTTGCCATGGAGCCCCAACGACGGTCAAATACGTGTATCGTGGAGATATGAGACCCCCTAAGGAGATCAAAAGGCTTGGGGGATTCCTCCCGAAGGGCCAGACAGGCTTCCAGTCTCAACCCCCAAACACCAGCCTCTTCAATCACATGAAAGGTACCCCCAACATCCAGAGCCGGGACGATGACGGGTTCGTTTCCACCAGTGCCAGCGAACCCGTGGCAGCGACATTTGTTTACAAGAAACCTTCCGCCTTCGTGTACAAGATCCACGCCACGCCTAACATGGTCGACACCGTCGGCACCCTTGGCAAATACAGCGACTTCGACGCGGAAGAAGAGTTCGCGGCGCTAGGAGGTATCAAGTATGACCAGATTGTTTCCTGGAGGACGTTGGATGGCAGGAACCTCGGAAAGTCAACGCCAAACAAGGACTTTGACAGGAGAAAGTACAGCTCGTCGGTCGCCGGCGGCGTGCAATATCAGCTGGCCGGTTTCCCTCCAAACCACAAGGCTTGGCGCGAAGAGCCCTGGAAGAAGCACAAGCCCACAAAACGCGACATTGATAAGGGACCAGACCCGGATCTCGGTTTCGCAGAGGTATGCATCGTGGGATTGTCTGGTGTGGCCCTCGAAGCTAACTCATGACAAGCAAACCTCGCCACACAGCTCGTCTTCGGGCGTCCTGCCACCGCGAGAGCCCTCTAGTGAGTGAGGGGTCCCTCCCAACGCCACGTGAAAACCCTACTCAGTTATTCCATGCCGGAACGCGTCGAGATACGGCCGTCCGTGTACAGCCATTGGCCCGACTTGTCCGGAGCCCCACCCGTCACCCCCTGCCCGACTTGGAAATCTCGACGCGTTCCCTAGGGTCTCTGATTGGCCGGCATGGACTTCAGTGTCTCCACCTTCAATTGAAATCTCGACGCGTTCCGAAATAAACCCCTAACATACTGGCAACTTCAAACACCTACTAGGTGATGGTTGAAATCCTAACATACTGGCAACTTCAAACACCTAACATACTGGCAACTTCAAACACCTACTAGGTGATGGTTGAAATCCTCACCAAATGGAAAAGTGGGGGGTGACATACATGGGGTAGGTGTTGGTTGAAGAGGTAGGGGGTAGGTGTTGGAAGAAGATCTCAGCGAATTCTGCAGTAAAAAGTGTGCATTTAACTGCAAAATATAACGTCAATTCAGGACATGAAGTGTGCTCAGTTTGGAGGTAAAACTACGACAGATTGATTTATAAGTGAATTTATTGCTGAAGCTACAGTTTTGATGTGGTGTTCGCTGCTCCACCCCCCCGCGTTGATGCTATTGGACCGCACCGCCAATTCCACCATGGACAACTGGCCCGTGCGCTCAAGAGCATTCCACTTGGGCAGGAAGTTGATGGATGGCACTCACAAGTTACTATGGTTACCCAGAGTGGGTAGTAGAAAACATTCATAGAGCAAAAAGCATAAGTCAGTGTATCAATAACAGGAACAGGGACAGATATCTTGATCTAAAGAGAATTATAACAACGGCGTTGAAGATGGATCCATTTATGGTTGCTGAGCCGTTTCGTCTGCTTATCTGCACAGTTTGTCAGTTTGCAGTAGTTGCTGACGAGTCGGCCGCACATCTGAGAACGCGTCATTCGTCCATCAAACCCAAAGAAAGATGTGCTATTATCTGCAAGATCGAGCAAGAGACGTCGGTTTATAAGACACAGTCTGAAGTTGCAGAGCTAAAGCACCCCAGCCCACATATAGCAGCAATCCCATATCTCATGGCGCCCCGTAACGACGGTATACGATGCGACACGTGCTCGTATGTATGCATCCGGCTGCAGACCATGCAGCAGCACTGTCGAGAGAAACATAGGTGGGTGAATAAGTAGAAGAAGGGGGGAGACGTGAGCAAAAAAAGCCAGCAGCCCCGACAGCTGCCATGGACAACGGGCGTCCAATGCCAACGCTTCTTTCCCGGCCGAGTCGGCAGCCAGTGGTTCGAGGTGGCCCGGAGACAGACGGCCGACGAGTCTGCAGAAGCCGCTCCAAACAGAAGCCCAGCACGGCAGGCGATGGACCGCGTCCGAGATCTCCGGAAAGTCCAAGCAGAACGTGTGAAGACGAGCCACGACGAGCTGATCCGCGTCGCCAACGAAAGACTGGAGTCCAGCCCGTGGCTGGCCCGTGTAGGATGGGCGGTGCACTTAAAAGGGCTCAGTGCCAGCGCACTCTTCAACACAACAGCTCCCATCAATGAAGATGAGGTCGTGCTTCAGGCGATGTGGGCGACGGTCGACCGCGTGCTGGACCAGGCTCGAGCAACGTCTGCGCCCAATACCGTCGGGCTGGCCGTGCTGTTCGAGGCGCAGCGTACAGAAGCGCACGTCAAGCCAAGGCGGCCGTTCGACAACCGCATGGAGGACGACACGTGGGCGAGATACAAGGGCGTGTGGCTATGTCTGCTGTGTGTCTGGTTCCGCACGCAGGAAATGGACGACGACAAGCGGCCACCGTATAAACTGACGCCGTCACAGGCAGAAGCGTGGGACTTGTTCGAGCAGATGGCGGAAGTAGCCAGCACGGGGACGGGGCATCAGACGCAGGAGAAGCTGGAACGCGCAGCACTCGACATGCTCATCAGCATGCTGGACCACCAGCTGAAGGGCGGAGACTACAGCAGTGCTCTTCTCAGCGCTCTCGCGGTGATGGGCATTGCCGAGAATGGCGGCTGGGTTCAGATCACGGACTACACGACGAAGTACTCGGCCGTGGTCAAGGTAGCGCGCATGCTGGTGATCCATCAGGCATACACCGAGCGTCGTGACGAGGTCGCCGAGCTGGAAACGTCTCTGGGGAAGGATGAAGCAGAGGACGCGGCGCGGAGTTTATTCCAGCACACGCGGGCGAAGGTGCGGCGGTTCATGACGCGGACGACGGGCGACAAGGATGCGGAGCCGACACCGAAGGACTGGATTCTCGAGACGCGGACGTACGGGATGCACATCCAATATAACACAGCAGCGGCCGGTGTCATCGACTGGGTCGGTGATCGCGTGTCATACAGACGGGTACGGTTCACGATGGGGCAGCTGTCGGACGCACTACATGAGCTGGTCCGAGAGACGCGGGAGCTGCTCGCAGAGCTGACGGCGACGGAGGATTCGGGTTCGGCGGACGGTCCGGAAAGCGACGTCCGGTCACAGCTGCCAGCCATCCCATGGTCGTCGATCGAAGACGACCACAGCGAGACAAAGCCCGGGTACTCGTTTCTCGCCGACGACCGCAACAGCTGGGTTTCCGCCGGGGACGGCTGGCTGTTCATGCGGCTGGCGCGGTCGCCCGCCGCTGCGGAACGGTGGGGACTGAGCAGCATAGGCAACGGTCGCGGGACGACAGACCGGCCGTTCCAGCCGTCAGCCGTGCAGGAGTTCGGTAGGACGTTTGAACGACTCCGCGAGCGACTGTGGATGCTTCTGCACATGCTCGGCGGACAGCCGGCGCGGGCGAGCGAGCTCGCAGGTCTGCGGACGGTCAACACGGTCAACGGGGGCGTCCGCAACATCATGGTGCACGACAAAATGTTGTGCTTCATCACAGCGTACCACAAAGGATACCGGACGACCGGGCAGGCGAAGGTGATCCACCGATATCTCCCGAGGGAGGTCGGCGAGCTTATCATATGGTTTCTCTGGCTCATATTGCCGTTCTGGCAGGAGGTGTAGGGCATCATGCACGAGGCCAGCGGGTACAGCGCGTTCATATGGGCGGACGACATCATCCGGCAGAGGGACTCGGAAGAAAGCAGCGCGGCGGCAGGATTAGAAGAGCAAAGTGGTGACAACATGGATATCGGGGATGGCAACAATCACAGTGCAAATGCAGATGAGGCTGGGGATGAGAGCACAAGTGTGGGCGACTGGACGTGGAAAGAGGAGCGAACGTGGACGACAGACAGGGCGCGGCGGATCATGCAACGGACCAGCATGAGACTGCTGGGATGCCAGGTCAACGTGAGCATGTGGCGGCACATCGCCATCGGCATCGCTAACCGCTACTTGAACGAGTCGTTCGGCCGGCCGGGCGGAGACGACGCCGGCGTGGGATCGGAAGAGGGGACGGACGAGGTCGAGGACAGCCCGTGGGACTTGCAGGCGGGGCACAGCACGCGGATAGCGGGCATGATCTACGCGCGAGAGCTCATGCAGTTCGGCAGCGGTCTCGCGGCGAGGCAGCAACAGTTCCGCCGAGTCAGCCGTCAGTGGCACAGGTTTCTGGGCTTCGGCGCCGAGGATTCGGAGTCGAAATGGGGTCCCGCGGGCTGCAAGAGGAAAAAGACGGAGGCGTACGAAGGGCCACGGCTCGCAGCCAGGCTCCGACGGTTTGAGAAGCTGAGGAGAATCGACTTGGAGGGCCAGCTGCGGCAGATGACGGGTGACGACTCGGCGATGTTCCGCGGGAACCAGAGAGAAGCGGTGCTCGCCATCGCCAGCGGGCACACGCCGATCGTGCAGGTGATGGGGACGGGCGGTGGCAAGAGCGTCTCGTTCATGCTGCCGGCGTTCTGCTCGCCGGACGGAGTGACGGTGGTCGTGACGCCGCTGGTGGCGCTGCGGTCGGATCTGCACAGGCGATGCGTCAAGGCGGGGATCACATCTCACGTGTGGCAGGGCCGGAAGAACAACCAGGCGGCGTCCATCATCTTCGTCACGCCCGAGTCAGCCGTCACAAAGGGGTTCAGGGACTTCATCGCACGGCTGGAAGGGAGGCAGGCGCTGGACCGCGTCGTCGTGGACGAATGCCACGTCGTGCTCGAGGGGTCACGGAGCTTCCGGCCGCGGCTCAGAGAGCTCGGAGAGGCGATTCGCGAGTTCGGCGTACAGACGATATGCTTGACGGCGACACTTGCGCCGACGGACGAGTAGCGCGGCCCCACGGGACGGGTCGGGCCAGGGTAGGGTTAGGCAAAACGAAAAAAAACGGGACATATTTATTGACATTTCAACGAAGCAACACATATATAGGTACACAAGGTATTAAGATGGACAGTTAGATTAATAGATAGTCGTAGCAGCAGTAGTGAACTAGGCTAGCGAAGTTGATAGAGGAACCAGTGCCATGCCATGCCCTCGGGGGCATCAACCAGCTCACGCCCTTGGGGGCATAGAAAGTGCCACACCCTCGGGGGCATCAATCAGCTCATGCCCTTGGGGGCATAGAAAGTGCCACGCCCTCGCGGGCATCAACCAGCCGATGCTAGGAAGTTTGATAGCCTCCCATAAAGCTTCGTTCAACAGCGTCCGCTTGGAAAGCGTAAAAGTTTCTATGCTTTTACTTACCTATATCTTCCTTAGCATCGATATCTAGACGCCTAGGCAGGCTAGTCCCACTGCTAACCCCCGCAGGCGCTCAAGTGAAGATGTGCCTACCTGCATGGCTCTCCCAGAGCCTGTATGAGTTGCTACTCAGCCCGGTCCTGTCTATCCCAAGAGGAGGAATACAATCGCTCGAAAGATAGCAAAATCCCTAGAAGGAGGAGGATAGTATAGAGCATAGAACGACAATCCTAGTAAGCATATAGAGCTGGCCAACAGGGAGCACGATATATATAAACAGCCTCAGCAGGAGTAGCAATAGATATATTCACCGATAGATAGATGAACAGATGAATAGAGGAAGAGGAGATTGAGGGTAGAGAAAACGGGGGACGCGTAGGAGATAGAAGAGGGTTAGATATCCTTGGCTATCCACGCGTTTGGTCTAGGCGTGTTTGTCCGCGAGAAGTAAGACCCTGGCCGGAAGCGGACTAATGTATAATGTCGCGTTAAGAGTGAGACCAACGCGTCAAGCAGGGGCAAGACAAGAAGGCCAGCTAACCATAGGATAAACCATCACAAACTCCATCGTCCTAGATAAAGAGTATATCAGGGCACCAGTAAGCAGATATCCGCGCAAAGCCTCAGTCAGTATATAGACATTTGTAAAGGGTGACAGGAAGCATGTTTACTTATGGTATACAGCAAGATGTGCAACTCAGACAGCGCAAATTCATCGTTAATGGGCAAGGGAGAGCCAAGGGAGGACCTCAGGTAGGTCCGGGGCCCTGTTGGTCCCGACCCACTCCATCGGAATAAGCCAGGGCCCGACAGCCGTTGATTATGTAATAGCTAGTTGAGTATCCAACCGGCCGAGCAGATCACTGTGAAATTATGAGTTTGGGGAAGCAAATCGCAAATAGCCCTGCGCATAACGTTCTACCTAGGATAAGGGCAGATGGGATAGTTTAGATAGGAGCGAGCAAAGTGATCTAGAACTCAAACAGGCAAAACAGGCCATCATATAAACAGGTAACATTTTTTCTAAGAAATTTTATCACAACATTAGAATGTTATTGTTCTACAGGGTATGATCATCAACACCGCCACCTAGACAAGATCTGGGAGCAAAGGTTAACATAAGACGCGCTATACTGCAGGTTAAATATATCTACATATCATTACGTATAAACAAGTAGCCGGATCACTACCACTTCTCTTTCTAGTTATAGTCATACATAGGTTGGGCTATGATACCTCAGCTCTAAGGAGGGTATTTCCAACCTTACAACAGACCCTATGTTCAACACCTCTCCCCAGAGTTGTTCCTCAACTAGAAAACAGGAGGGAGCATACGCAGTATAGGCAGGCATAGCTTGTCCTTATTGCCCTAGACTCGTCAGATACCCAGGGCGTCCCAGGAGCTAGCACAGCCAGTGACCCAGCCAGTTAAGGGCGCCAATCCTGAGTATGAAAGACGTGCGATTATGGGGGTAGGACAGCTATTTATCCAGAGGGCGACTAATAGTGCGTATAAGTGTTCATAGCACCACCTATCATAGGTGTATTCCGACGCCTGATCTGTTTATTACCTTACAGCATGACCTGAGGTTAGTTATGCCGCTGCTGCTGCTGCTGCTACCGGACGTGAATACGCTAACTGTGGTGGGGTGAGTCAGCTCCCTCTGCTGCGTAGCCGTCCCCCACCTAGCATATAAAAACATAGAAGATTAGTGTACTACAGCAGCCTCGGACCAATCGCATCCGGCCGCCCTGCCAAATACGCACCCCTTCCAAGCATCCATCATCCCATCTTCCCGTCTCATTTGTGCACACATCTCATCTGATCACAAGCACCCCCACCCCCTTAACCACCTATCCCTAAGCCCCCAGGGGCAAGAAAGACAAGAAAATTAACGAAGAAACAACAGGAACAGCCAGCACAGGCTATCAGGCGGCAGTTGAAAAATACACTGCATATCACCGCAATGGCCAGAGTGCTCAGCGACAAGCGGAAGAGGAAGTGTGATGAGGGCGATAGAAAGAAAGCAGCAACAGCGGCATCAGCATCAGGGCTGAGGAGGCGGGTCCGGGCCAGGAGAGAAGATGAGATCAGCTCCCCCTTTACAGAAACATCGTCCGCGCGAGAACGGGCGCGACCTTTCCTCCTCGCCGTTGCCAGGATGCCCATCGACGTGCTGGACACAGCCTGGAGCGTCGGCAGGAACCGCCCTATTAACGCAGCCCACGTCCAGGAGCTGTTACACGCATTCAGGAGCGGCGGGCTGGAACGGCGGGCGCCGGAGAACCGGATCACCGTCCTCTGCAGCGCCGAGGCAGTCAGCCTTATGCAGCAGGACGGTGGCGGCATAGAGGGGCGAGAGGAGGACGACGGAGAGGACGACAACGATGATAACGACAGTCCTTGCGAGCTCTCCTTTTTACGCTGGGCCGAAGTGAGCGGGGGCCAGGCCGAGGTCATGGCCGGCCAGCACCGTATCCAGGCGCTCCGCGAGTACGTCAAGGAGACGGGCGCACCAGGCTCCGACCTATGGTGGGCGTGCGAGCTGTATGACAAAGGTATAGCCCCCAAGCTCAAGGCATGAGCCTGTGTTCACAAGAGGCTAACGGACGACATGGAAACCCAAAGACCGCCTGCCGCGCGACCTGAACGTCAAGCTCCGCGTCAACAGGCGCGATCCAAGCCTGCCCGACAATCACGGGCAGATCTGGACGCAGCTTGCGTCCATCGCCTGCATAGGAGGGCAGGCAGACGGACAGCTAGGCGGGGAGGACGCCGCCGTAGACCAGCACGTCGTCGAGGCACTCCGCCTCGGCGGCGAGAAGCATTTCCCAACGCGGAGGCTCGTTACGTTGTGGAACCACCAGAGATGGCGGCCTGTCACGACGCAGTGGTGCTGCACAAGGCTGGGGTTAGACACCTTCAATATTTCATACTTTGAGTGGATTGCTAGCCTCCGCATCGACGAGTACTGGATTGATGCCCTTAACGAGGTTCTCAGCGTTTTAGCCGACCTACCCGCGGACGAGCAGGTCTACATCACGCCCGCCGACTGGGACAGGCTCTCAACTTGCCAAGCCGCCCCCGATATTACGAGCGTATTCTACACGTCCGGACAGCAGCAGGCGGGGCTTGAAGCACGTACACGGGTCGACGGGTTCCTTGCGAACATGGACGATCACACCTACCACCTCGTCCATGATGTTATCACAAACTCGCTGGTGCTTACGTTCCCCGACCTAAGGCGTATCCTCCACTGCAAGAAGACGGAGATCCAGATAGCCGTCCGCGTGCTCTGCCACGTGATCTGCTGGATCAGTCCAGAGCAAGCTGCAGCTGTCGACAACGTCAGGCCTAAGGATAGGAATAAGCCCCTCCTCCGGGAGCACCTGTCGATAGCGCTAGACGACCTCGCCTCCCATAGGGGCTGGGCTCCCGGGGCCTTCCCCGCGATCGCAGCAGTACAGCTCCAGCGACGTATTCTGGACTTCGTACGGGACAACCTAGCCGAGTTCCGGGCGCCGGAGCTGCTCCCACTCCTGGATGATGACGCGATAGGCGATGAGGAGCAGGACAGCGAAGACGGCTTATACGGGCAGCGCTTCAAGCACGTGGCGTGGGCGCGTCTGCTGAAGATGGTGCGTCAGTCAACCGACAGGGAGGGCCACACGCTACGCCCGTTGTGGACGACGGAGTGCGCAACAAGGAGGAGCGAGCGCCAGGCCAAGGCCTCTACCCTCGTGCAGGGGTTCTGCGCCAATCTGTTCAAGCTCGCCGGCCAGCAGGACGTCGCAGCTAGACAAGCTACCCAGCAGAAGGTGGAGGAGCTCGTAAACGCCTACCTCACGCCCTCCAACGGATCTGCAGCAGCGCTGGACTGCCCTGGCGACGAGGACCAGCCGACACAGGACGCGCCCGCCATCACCACTAAGCAGTCTGCGCGCCAGCGCCAACAGAGCAGCAGCAACAACAATAGCAATGATGATGATGACGACGACGATGCTCGAGGTGTTTCACAGCCCAGGCGCCGTAACAGTATTCCCTCCTCCCCCTCCTCCCCCTCCTCCCCTTCCCCGCCGCCGCCGTCACATCAACAGTGGCGCCCTCTGCCTTCGCCCAAGGCGCCAGCGACCACCGCCAGCCAGAAACCAGTTCCACGCTGGAAGCTGGGGCCTAGAGCTAGGAAACCAGCCAGAGCAGCAGTATAGTAGCAGTCGTGGTCGCGTCTGCAGGCCTGGGGATCCCTTGCATACCTTACATAGACAATTCGTTTGGGAAAGTTGTTCTGAAGAACGCTGCAAGCCTGCCCGTTTGAAACATAGCCAATAGAAGATGCCTCAGCAAATACCTGCGCCCGGCGGGCACATACAAAGAAGGTTGCCTAGTTTCACACTAAGTGGGCCCCCAATTCCAGATGTGCCCCAGTCCATCCCTTATTGAGGTCGTCATCATCAGCTTCACGCCCGGGAGGGCATTTGTGCAGACCGTACATTCTTAGGCAGACGAATGTCAGACCAATTCGAGGTTTTGTTTTTATTGACATGATATCAAGCTGTCTTAATAGGGCTTTAGTCTAGTAAGAGGGAAAGAGGATTCCTCCACTCTCCCCGATAAAACACAGGCGGCACATGCTGCATATCTGCCCTCCTGGACTTATAGTGGGTGAGAGTTACACGGGGAGCAGGACAACAAGCAGTAGTCAATACCCTAATAGATAAGTGGTTGGTAAGTAATCTCCTAGTAGATGATATATAGGTAGTCCTACATAGAATCCCTAGAAAGTATAGTACAAGAGACCTCACCTAGCACCTACATACATTACGCACACCCAAGACCGTGAATAGTAACACCTAGCATCCCACCGCAGCTACATTAAGATGTCTTTAATCTATGAGGGAGATGTTATCACCGAGTCGCTAGTAGATAGTGATGGCCTACCCGATGCAGAGGATACCTCTAGCCTGGACCATAATAACGATCCCTTCGCCCACAACCAGGACTCAACCCGCCAACATGAGGATGAAGGCGACAATGGGTGGGACGGCCACCGTTGGGCTGTGGACCACTCCTCAGGGCACCACCGGTTCCGAGGTATATATGCGGAAGGAATTAAACTAGCTATGAGAAGAATATGCTAACGCCTCTCACCCCTCTCCTCAGCTAGACGCTTCATCGAAAAGGTCCTCCGAAGTGATTTCGAGCCAGCCGATGCTATCAAGATGCTACAGGAGAAGCACACTATTGACTTTGGGTCTCGCGCTGGAGGTAGCGCGCCAGCGAAGGCCACGGACGCCTTCTTCCCGCAGTTCTTCCTTGACTTCTTCAGCATCGTCGGCAAGCCACGCAGCCCCATCACGAAAAGCGACGGGCCCGTCTTCGACAACATCGAGTTCTCTCTTGAGTCATACGCAGCGCCCTATAGCGCAAAGCATATCGGCGGCATCCCGTTCGATATCACCGGGCGCACGTTCAGGGTCGCCAAGGCTGGTACCCGAGAGGTCTGGTTCGTCGTCATGCACCCCGTGGCGCACGAGCCGACCTCCAGGGGCGGGGGCCCGCGCGAGAGACAGACGGCCTCAGAGAAGAGCGGGATGCCGGCTGGGTTAGCCCGCGAGCTGGCTGCATATATCGTGGGCGTCTTCCAGTCGCCGCAGCTGCTTGGCGAGGGGGTTGAGGCCTGCTGGCGGTTGGGGACAAAGAGCACTCAGCGTATAAGCTCAGCTAAGTGGCAGGTCTTCCAGCAGCAGTTCATGGACGGTTGGGCTGTCTGGGCCAGCAACCACAACCACAATTCATTCTGGCGACGCCACGAGCCGGCGTTCCACGCGTATGACTACGGCGCGAATATCGAGATTCAGGTCAGCGATAGCATCTACGACCTGCCGCGCGAGAGGCATATACCCTATGAGGAGGAGGAGGAGGAGGAGGAGGAGGAGGGCGGGGAGCAGGGCCCTAGAGATGGAAATGTTCAGCAGGACATTGAAGAGCTCTCTCTTAACGATGAACAAAGAACACACAGCGATGCAGTGGACGGCCGGGAGTACCAGCAGATGCTCAGGGAGAGCAGGGACCTGCAGAGGATGATTATAGAGCTCGACGCCCGCTTTGATCTCAGCAGTATCAGTGCTATATCGTACGCCCTTGCAGTCTGTATCAACAGCGAGTCGGGTAGCTCGCAGACGCGCTGCCTCCTCGCCGACCGGAACATGGTGGCGCGAGAGTACCCTGGTAACCGCGACTACACCTTCTACCCGCAGGCCTTCCACCCAACGTATGGAAACTTCTCATCCAGCCAGCCGCCCGCCTTCCTCAACTCGCTCTACACCGCTATACAGGGGAATATGAGCGACCGCAATGAGGGCGCAGACGTGCTGTCGTTCGGCTACTTCCAGGGCTACTCCAACATCAAGAGAAGCGTGCGCCACAGCGCCAGCGCCCTCCTCGCAACGAAGGGGTACGCGACAGCAGCGCTAACAGCCCCAACGTCACACACATCCGCCATGTCGTACACAAGAGACAGGCGGGAGAGGCTGCTACGTTGTATCCGTGGCGACCTCACGCCTGAGCAGCCTGAGGAGTCTAAGCCATTTGCGCGAGAGCGTAGGCAGCTGGACATCGCTATCGAGAAGGATGAGGTAGCATACCGGATGGAGCAGGTTGTATCACTCAATATACGACATATGGACAGCGTTGAGCGCACATTCGAGAACGTTATTCGCCCTATTTTCCAACTCATGCGCTTCTTCCTCACAGAGCATGAGTCGTATGTCCACATCTTTCGGTCTATACCAGTCGGAATCTTCCCCCGTATCATGTCAGCCTACTGCCGCCTGTTTGAGCTTGCTATCTGTGAGATGGAACGGCGTTACGTTGCTGGCGGCGAGCGCGGCCTAGACCTCGCACACTCTGAGGCTGTTGCAGTACTTGACCGGCTTGGTGGGTATATCTTCACCGGGCATGAGCGCCACCTGCCGAAGACGGTGCTCCGGCCGCTAGGCACCATCGACAGCCTTCTGGCTGGGGCGTGGCCCTATATCGACCCAGCCGTACTAGACCTCGCTCCAGCCGGGGCAGCGACCTGCTTTATGGACACCAGCCGGTGGCCCCGCTCCGCGAAGACGGGAAGGCTTATACTGCTCCATATTAGCGAGCTACAGCACCACTACGGCGACCCGCCTTGCCTCCCACCGGGAGACCGAGATCTGGTTCAGCCAGCTAGGCCGGGACGCATTCAAGAGCCATGCAGCTGTGACGGAATATGTGACGGAACTCATGCGGGAGATGTGGATCCCCCAGACGAAGCTCTTCATAGCTAACCAACTACGGCGCAGGCTGCAAGAAGGTAGTAGCGACACTGGTAGTATGCCTATTACCTTAGAGCAGAAAGAGGCGTGTAAGTCTGCTGTTGAGGCGTGGGAAGCGGCGCCAGACGCCTTCACCCATGTGGCGCTACAGCGGCTAATTGACGGTCTCACCTCAGGCGGCTCGCGCATAAAAATAACCTTGTCGAGGACGCGCACCAGGCACGACTTTGCTACTCAAGCTTCTCCGCGTTGTCTCTACTGAGAAGGGGCGGGCAGCATCCGCGCCAGTCAACGCGACATGGCCGGACCATCTACAGGCGGCCATAACTAGCGGCAACCAGGCCAGCAACGGACTCAAGCCCGACGAGGTGGGTCTCCGTGATAGCCAGCCGACTCCTCGCGGCCGGTGTTGAGTGGGTGCCTGACGCCGTCAAGGGCCCGCTTAACGTCAACAACCGTCGTCAGCCTGTGCGGTCGAGAGGTCGCGCACGTAGTAGTAACCGGCCCGCCAGGCTCCCTGAGGCGCGCGGCGCAGGAAGCTCAAATCAAGCACGAGAAAGCTGCGCACGACCGGGCGCTCAGGCAGACGCGCAGAACCATCAACTTCGGCTGCAGCTTCCCCCTCACCGACGTCCCCAGCCTTATTACGGACGGTTTTCTCAAGGCTAAGGCGATCTTCTCTAACAAGGGCGATATACAGGTTCTGGACCACTACCAGCTAGCGATAAACGTCCTCTACAGCAACATCGAGGACCCCCTCTGTTGCCTGATGCTGATGATCACATTGACCGTTTGCTCCTCATCGGAAACGCCAGAGGTCGCGCCTGGGTCGCGCAAATTCGGACCGCAGCCAAGAGAAAGGACCCGGCCCAGCTGGCCCTCGTTATGGTCACGAGGATGATGTGGTTCCTCTACCCCGCCTCGTTCCCCTGGAAGAAGGGTTCAAGTGGGACGGCCTATGATGTAGCCGAGATGACGAAGAAGATTGGTACAGTATAACGCAGGGATGGTGTGAGGCTTATGATGCTAACAGCGCTTGTAGAGCATAAGGGGTGCAGCAACAGGATGTTGCGTGAGCTGGGTTGGGTCACCTCAAAAAGCAACCGCGACAGCCCCCGAAACACAGACCTGCAGCTGCGGCCTCAAGAGGACCTCCTCCAGACACTCCGAGAGCTACGGTCGGCCATGAAACGACCAGACGACTTTATCAGCGTGGTCTTCAAACAGCCAGGACAGCATCTGGACGGAGCGTTGCGCGAGCATCATCAAGGATCGATAAGGTTATATAAATACAATAAACAGGGCGAATAAGGGAATAGAGATAATAGGAATTGAGTAGGAGATGCAGATGCCTTTGGTTTTTTTTTTTCCAATTTCGGTGGGCGAATCCGATAGGAGCCAGGGTGATGCGTTTCTCCACCAGCCTCTCTTGCTGAGCCATCACGCGGGGGGACACATCGACTGTTATGTCGAAAGGTTGTGTACCTCGCCAACAGGACCATTATCCTGAGGAAGGAGAGTATAAACGGGGATTGGAGATACGAGAGACCTAGATATAGTATATAATGTGAGGCTAGGCGGTTTGCCTTGCAGGAGAGGGAATTTTATCAACATATTCGTAAGTATACGTAAGGTATTGCACTCTGATAGCTTAGAACTGAGAGTGTAAACGAAATAAAGCCTAAACAAGAGATTTCTTGCCAACGGAGAGGCCTATGACAAAACGGACTGGATATTTGAGATCAGGGCAAAAGGTTGCACAGAAAAAAAGCTGCAAAAGTTGCGACCCGCCCAGGACTCGAACCCGGACCTTCCCCTTAGCTAGAGGGGAGCTCTGCCAATTAAGCTGGCAGGCCTCTCATCCCAACTGGTGATATCTCTGCGACGTTTCACGCCTTTAAGGCATGCGCGGCCGTAGTCTCGCGCGCATGACGGTCGTTTCGGGCATACATACGAATCGAACCCGCCCAGCCCGGCGGCGGCCCGCAGGCGCATCCTAAACAGGGCATTGCAACCGCTGCGCGCCGCCGCGCTCCTGCAGCGGCGCAACGGGGAAGAAATGGACAAGCGACAGAGGGTGCAAAAAAAGAGGCCCACCAGGACTCGAACCCAGATTTCTCCTTAGGGTTAGGAGGTGCTCGACTAATTAAGCTGATAGGCCCTCAACCAGTGCTTCAGCTCTACTACGTCTATCCTACTTAGGCCTTTCGACGCACGTCAAGCGTTAGGAGTTAGCTTGACAGATGCTGAGTCGGCGAGGAGCAACGCTTCGCGGGCGACGTCGCTGGGGCCCGGGTAAGAGCGGGGCCCGCCGCCGTCAGCCCCGGCCCGGACGCGAGCGGGGCGACGGGGCCGAGGCAAGAGGGCGTCAGCCAGCCAACTTACGGGGAAGGGGGGAGAACAAAAAGAAACGCAAGAAAAAGGAAAAATGAACGACCTCACCTGGATTCGAACCTGGATCTTCTCCTTAGCTAGAGGAGCGCTCTACCACCAAGCTACGAGGCCTCTCGACTGGTGTTGGGAATGAGGGTGATATCGTTGCCGATAAAGCCTAGCGGCGGATAGCGATGTGATGAGCGAGACGTTGGCAACGGGCGAAAGGACACTTAGCTGTTTGTGTGTTCGGCGCCGTATATAGTGTGCTTAGCAGCTAGGACCTTAGGGATAGATCTATAGGTAATAGGTGATAGGATAGGGAGCTAGATACATAGCTTATATATCACTGAAGCAGGTTAGAGTGGAACAAGAATGCTTTACCTCAGGCGAGTGGGTTTTATAACCTTTGTGGACGCGGTGATCTCATACGTTACTTAAACTCTGCATTACTCACCATGAGATCGTCTTGACCAGGGGAACGCTTCCGACTCTTCTAACCCATCTAATGCTGACCGCATAGCCTCAATCTCCTCAGGGCCACTTGCGCAAAACCTTTGGTTGAGAAACGTTACCGAGGAGCGTGAACAGAGATAAAACCATCCACCATACAGTTCCCCAAGTCTATTGCTCTAACCTGAGGCTATGTGGAGACTTCCGAGGAGCGAGGACCACGTCTTTCGCCCCCCTCCAGTGACATCAACGGACTCGAGAACAAGCTCCGAAGCGTGTCGCGATGCCCCTCTAGCAACGTCATAAGCTCGTCCCTTGTGCAGTCGACGAACTCGATACGGAGGCTCTGGAGGCTGGGAATTCGAAGATCCTCGGAAAGCCTCGGAAATTGCTGCCTTTCGTCGCGGGGATTGAAGTGTAAGGTGAAGTCGGTCAGCGTGAGAAAAAGACGGAGGAAGCCGCAGAACTCCGGACACCAATCGGAATCCGTATCTGGATCGGGTCGGTGTTGGAAACTAGTTTCTTCACATCATCGAATGCGTTCTGGTGGCTGTTTGGGTTGACCACAAGTAGCAGGGTTTTGATGGGAGCAAGCCGATTCTTCAAAGTGTCTACAGACACAGGGATCGTTGATAGCATGCGTGGGGTGACAGAGGTGCAGCCCGTCTTCAGATCGCCAAACTGAATATAGAGTCTCTCTACAGCATGGCGACTGTGCAGCAGTCCTATGAACAGGGCTCTGATCAACGTGGTG